AGCTAGAATAAGCTAAATTAGCAATGGAAGCATTATGCAAAGGAGCCACTAAGTATAAATGTGGGAATACCACATCAAAAGAAGAATCACCCACCTAAACATCCTCCAAAAAATGAACATTTTCTCTGTTACTTGTTTTCAAAGAAAGAAATCTAGACAGAAGTAGAAGCATTCGAGAAACAAATTGTCATGGAGATTAGACAAATACCCTTACTAACCATAACCACAAGGGTATCTTTGCCATTAACTTGCATCCCATATTTTACGTTTAATTATGGAATGCTATATGAAATCACACTCAATGGTAAATCTCCCTAACCATTTTCCAAGAAGAGCAATGTTCCTAGCCACAATGTTGCCAATGGCTAGACCTCCCTTCTCCTTGGGGAGAGAAACTACCTCCCATTTTAGTACGGCAGTGTTTGGTTGGGAGATTTGAGAAGAGATTTGGAAAGGGAAAGGAAAAAAGAGATGAAATGTGAATAAAATATATTTACATTTCACCTAGTTTCACACATCTTTTCTCTTTCCAAATCCTTCCGCAAATCCCCCAACCAAATACAACCTATGTGATCCTTCTTCCCCTCGTTTTGACCTTTCCAAAGAAAATCCCTCAACATTTTTTTCAATATTATTTGCAACCCCAACCGAAATCTTAAATAAAGACAAATAGTATATGGGAATTCTACTCAACATAGACTATGCCAAGGTATCTCTCCCCTCTCTAGATAACAATGCTCTCTTCTACCGCTCCTTGTACCAATTTTTCTAACACTGGAGCCCCAAAAGACAATCTTATGATTATCTCTCAACGGAAGACCTAAATACTTCAATGGAAAACTCTCACTGGACAAGCACCTCTGATAACAAACCCATCAACTAATCCAGCCTTCCTTGCTTATCAATTAGCCTCCCCAACAGATCCACTACCAAGATAAAGAGAAGATATAATGGGTCACGTTGTCTTGTCCCTCTAGATGCCCTAAGGCTATGTTTGGTCCATAGATTTGGAAAGAGATTTGGAAAGGAAAAGGGAAAAGGTGTGTGAAATGTAGTTATATTTCGTTCATATTTCACCTACATTTTTCTTTTTTCCTTTTCAAATTCCTGCTTAAATCCTTCAACCAAACACAAAGTAAAGGTATTCCATGCCTTTCGGTTAACAATGCCTAACATATTACAAGTCAACAAGCACCCTTGAATCCATTGTCTTCATCTGTCCCCAAATCCCTTTCTTTGCATTACAAAATCTAAAAATTGCCAGTCAACATGATTATATGCTTTTCTGAAATTCACTTTCAAAATGAGACCCTCCAAAACTCTGATGTGCCCACGATATTTAAAATTTTATGAACTAATAAAAACAACTGTTTGAATTGCATTGGCATAGGAATCTTATTACTAGCAATGGGATTAGTGTAATGTGATTGTATTAATTTTCTTTGATTTGTGCCATCAAAACATAGCCTTAAAGTTAAGAACACAAGGAGGGTTTTTTATTTGGACATTGTTTTATTATCATTATTGCTAATTTTTTTAAAAATTTCATGGCCATTAAGTCTATGAAAGTTTAGACCATCAGTTAAATGAGGTAGGAAATCATGCTTGGTACAAAAAATCTAAAAATTGCTTGTTTTCATTGGTACCATCAAATAATCTTGAAGGCTTACCATGTTGGGACCAAAGACAAAAAGATGAAACCTTTATTTTTTTTATTAGATAATATAGTCGAGCACATGCATAAATGTCAATAATAAATAAGCACTTGATAAATGTGAAGTAAAATTTGTTGGAACAACATATCATGCATATACAAAAGTATCAGCGTTTTCATACTACTTTTTTGTCAATTTTTTAAACATGTACTGTATGCATGTAAAATTATTATTTTTTGGGGAAATTAAAAAAAAAAAAAAAAAAAAAGCCCTTAGAGTTTGACCCTTTAACAAAACAAATTTTAAATTTTTTCAATTTAAACCCTAATCTTTTGCTTTGTTTCCAATCTAAACCATCAACCGATTTGTACTAAGTAAAATCTATGGCCATCAGTTTTACTTAACGGAATAGGCAGATGGTTAAGATTGAAAACAAATCAGAAGTTTAGGGTTTAAATTGACAAAATTAAACTCAGTTTATTTGGTTACAAATGTCAAACCTTAGAGATTTTTTTTTCCCTGTAATTTTCCCTTTTTTTTTTTTGTGTGTGTGTGTGTGTGTTATCATGATGCTTCAACATTTTAAATTTCTCTAACCTTAATAAGGTGAAGCATGAAACACAAAATGAGTTGCAAGTGTACACAAAATGAGCATACACATATTCTAAAGATAAGCACTGGAACATAACTCGGAAGTGAGTTATTGGCTGATCAAAAATAAATACATAAATAAATTGGAAGCTAGTTATAGGCTTACAACACATGTTGAAAATTCAAGCTAGTGGAAAAAAACATTTCCATGATGTCAATCTCTAGTAGAGAAAAGCAAGTAATTTGAAAATTTAAAAAGTTGCTAAAGCTACCATATTGGAAAACATGCTATAATTCTTCGATATGGATTGTCAATTGTTAAAACAAAGTAATGACACATCTTTAAGTTTCTCTATTGCTCTAATTTATGTTTTGTCTCTCTAAATTGTTGCTTTCTTCAGTTATGAGCTATGAAGCACAGATACTCTAAAAATGTTACTATACAAGTACCGAGTATATACCGGGTGCGGGTACGCATACCGGTACGACTGCACGCGTACCGAGTACGCCAAAAACGTACCAGATACGTGGTATACGATCAGTATAATGATGGGTACGTTTTTGGGTACTCCGGGATAAAAAATGAGATTTTCTACAATTTAAAGGGTATTGGAGAAAAATTGTTTGTCTATTTTAAAAAATTATGTAAATTTGGGGTTCTTTTGTAATAAATAAAACTTGAAACAAATTAAACCTAGGGTTCCTAGTTTCATTCGATCATCTCATCTCTTTCGTAGAAATACAGAGAAACGGTGCTGGTCTCATTCGATTTTTGATTTCTACTTCGTTCGATCATCTCCTTCGCAGAAATACAGAAACTCCTTCGAAGGTGTTGATTCCGGTAAGTTTATCTTCGATTCTTCCTCCTCTTCGTCTTCGATTCTTCTTCCTCTTTCTTTCATTTTTTTTTCTCCAGATTTTTGTTCTCTTCTTCGCAGTAAACAAAGAACGAAGAGGCGTTTTTTTTCCCATCGTTTTTCTTCGATTCTTCTTCCTCTTTATTTCATTTTTTTTTTCTCCAGATTTTTGATCTGTTCTGTCCTCTTTGCTTTTCTTTTTTCTACCCCCCTTCGTTTTTTGATTCGTTTCTTTCCTCTTTAATTTTCTCTTTCTTTGATCCTTCTTCTTCTTCCTTTTTCTTGAACTCTCCTTCATTTTATTTTTCCTGATATATATATATATATATTTCTCCACAACCACTGGAATTTCATGTTGCAAGTCTCTAGAGCCTTCTCTGTAATAATCTTCAAAAAAAGAAAAAAGAAAAAAAGGGGTAATGTAAAATGACCCTTTGTTATTTAACTTTGCCCTCTTCTTACTGTTGTAGATTGTATGTAGTAGACAATAAAAAAATTGTTACATATTTGAAAAGTTATATACTCAAATGAAGTGAAATAATTCACAAATTATTTTGTTAATGGCTATATTATAGGAATATGAGTTCATCAGGAAGTATAGGTTCAACTGCAAGTGCCCTTTCTATTGACACTGATCAAACTGGGGATGAAAATGCTCCTCTTTGGAGTTAAGTTACAAAAATAGCTAAAAGGGGTAAACTTTAATTTGTACGTTGGATATTTAGCTATCAAATAAAAAATTGCCGTACCCCAGCCGTACTCGTATTTTATTTTTTTTTTAAATTTGCCGTATCGGCGTACTTGTACCGTACCTGTACCCCACCCCACCCGCACCCACACCCGCACCCGCACCCGCACCCGCACCCGTGCTTCATAGGTTATGAGACAGATAGAGATATATACTGTCCTATTATCCCATAAAAAGCGTCTACTTGGTTTGCTCTACATTATTATATACATACAAAATATGTATATCATTTATTGATAATAATTAAATATTTAACCATAAGTGAAGCAGAGAGGGGCTTGATGCTTGTGCGAGTTTTCTCCTATTTTTCTTATTAATATATCTATTTCATCCTCACCTCACTTTAATAACACTTATCTTCCCTTCATTTATACAAACACTCACCTCTATATCTTTCTCTAGAACTACCTGCCACAGAGCATAGTTACCGAAACAGATCTCAAAGATGGAAAACAGTTCTCCTCCTCCTCCTCCTCCTCCTTCCATTGATCTGAATAGTGGTTTTACCAATCTATTTTTTCCAGTTAATAATGTTTTTCATTTGTGCTAAGTGGTGGACATGTGTGTTTCCCAAGTGTTTGAAGCGGATTTAAAAGAAAAAAGAAGATATGTTTGCTTGTGTGTCTGACACCTATTAGGAAGTGTCCAATGAGTGTTGGTGTCCGACACCATCCAATGTATCTGACACAGACACGACATATTCTTTGAAAATTGTATGCTTCATGCTTTATACTGTATAGTTGTAAAGATATAAATGAAATAAAAGGAGATGTAAAGTGATTTGCTTTGCTAGTTTTGATGATTGGTATATAATTGGAATCAATAGCAACAGCAAAGGGTATAGTAGTAAATTCACATATGGCTTACCGAAGATACACCAACTACGGCTTTTATATACATCTGTAGATATTTGTGCATGTTTTCTTCATTTTTTCTTTGCAATGTCCTCTGGAAGTACGTACCCCATCATTTTTATTTATTTTTGAATCTGGAGGTATCCCCCACTGTATATTGGAATTATACCAATAGTTTGTAGATTTTCAATATTTCTGGCTGTTGCATGGAAACATTGATTTAGCCACCTGTTGATTGTTGAAAGCAAATACTGATCTATTTTTGCCATTTAATACTGTTTTTTTTTTTCTGAAGATAACACCAAGATTTTCAAAGGGAAAAAGAAAAAGAAAAAGAAAAAGAAAAAACTATTTGTTGTCAGGTACTTTATTTTCATGAACCCTCCATCATGTTTATATCATTGACTTGTGGACTTTGCAAACTAATAGCTGAAGTAACTTGGCCATGCATTTTTATGTCTCCTGACTATATCAGAGGTGTAGGGTATTACTTTTTCCCCATGTGATCAAGAGGTGCTTTGCAATCTTAGCACTTCTAAAGTCATGTGGATTGATAATGCAGGCCTGTGGTTATTTTTTATTGTTTCCGAAAATATGGAAAATAATATGCTGCAGTATACATTTTTCTTCCCTTTTCTAGTCTTTGTTGATTGTTGAAATAGTTAATGAACATTTGCTACCTATTACAGGTGGGTAAAATAATTTACGCAGCAATTCATGGCGGACTTAGAAAAGTTGCTTCTGGAGGCAGCCGGAAGAACCAGTACAGCAGGGAGGAACCGTCATTCGCCTCCAGCATCTAGACGGCGACACAAGGGTTCATATTCTGATGATGGAAGTGACTCAAAGGATGATGACTCAGATGATGATCGTGGTTATTCAAACAGAAAACCCTCTGCATCTCAAGTTCCTTTGAAAAAAAGGCTAGACCCTGCAGAAAGAGACGATGATCAGAGCAGCCAGGAAGAAGGTGATGATGCTGGTTATGATCATGATGGTGACAGTGGTGATGACTCTGTCGGGAGTGATCTTTACAAGGATGAAGCTGACAGGCAAAAGCTTGCAGAGATGACCGAACTTGAAAGGGAGCTCATATTATCGGAACGTGCATCGAAGAAAGATGATAAAGAATTGCGTGAAAAGATGAGATCGAAGCGGAATGACAAGAAGATGCCCCAACCTAGAAAAGAGAAAGAGAGTCCGCGTCGTACGTCCTCACGTGGTGTGCGCTCCTCTGCCAGATCAGCTGACAGAGCTGCGGCAAAGGATGATGCGCTGAATGAGTTGCGAGCAAAACGACTAAAGCATCAAGGTCCGGAGGCTCAACGGAAATTGAGGGATGCAACTAGGGGAGGTTCAGGCAGCAGGGGGTTTTCACCGATCAAGAGGAAAGCCTTCACTGCAGCAAGTATAAGTAGCTCCAGCCGGAGTGAAAGTGGTTCCCATAGTGATGATGAAGAGTCAACAGGGGATGGGGGAATGGTTGACAGTGATGAAGACAAGACCTCGCCTGGTTCAGTGCCAAAATTTGAGGATATAAAGGAGATCACTATCCGTCGGTCAAAGCTGGCTAAATGGTTTATGGAGCCTTTCTTTGATGAGTTGATTGTGGGATGCTTTGTGAGGGTTGGAATTGGAAAATCGAGAACCGGGCCTATCTACAGGCTCTGTATGGTTCGTAATGTTGATGCCACAGACCCTGACCGACAGTACAGGCTGGATAACAAAATGACACACAAGTATTTGAATGTTGTTTGGGGCAATGAGAGTTCTGCTGCCAGGTGGCAGATGGCTATGATTTCGGACTCCCCTCCTCTCAAGGAGGAGTTTGACCAGTGGGTTCGAGAGGTGGAGCGCAGCGGAGGTCGGATGCCGAGCAAACAGGATGTGCTTGAGAAGAAAGAGGCCATACAAAAAACCAACACATTTGTCTACTCAGCTGCCACTGTGAAGCAGATGTTGCAGGAGAAGAAATCGGCCACGTGGAGGCCGTTAAATGTTGCGGCCGAGAAAGATCGGTTGAGGAGGGAGATGGAAGTGGCGAAAAGCAGGAACGACGAGGCAGAGGTGGAGAGGATCAAGGCAAGACTGGTGGAATTGGATGCGTCCCGGCAAGTTCAAGAGAAAGATGCGAAGGCTATAAGGCTGGCTGAAATGAACAAGAGGAATAGGGTTGAGAATTTCAAAAATGCATCCGAACTAAAACCCGTGAATACGAGTTTGAAAGCCGGTGAGGCCGGGTACGATCCGTTTTCAAGGCGATGGACTAGGTCAATGAATTACTATGTTTCAAAGGGCAGCGGTGGAGGAAATGAAGCTGCCGCTGCTGCAGCAGCGGTGAATGATGATTCTATTGCAGCGGCAGGTGTGGATTGTAAAACAGTGGAGGCTGGTGTAGCGGCTACCGCAGCGGCCTTGGAAGCTGCAGCTGATGCAGGGAAGTTGGTGGACACTAGTGCTCCAGTGGATCAAGGAACAGAGTCCAATACGATGCATGATTTTGAGCTACCGATCTCTTTGGCTACGCTTCAGAAGTTTGGTGGTCCCCAAGGAGCCCAAGCGGGGTTCATGGCGAGAAAGCAGAGGATAGAAGCGACGGTTGGATGCCGGGTCCCAGATAATGACGGAAGGAGACATGTGCTGACACTTACAGTTAGCGATTACAAGAGGCGCAGAGGGCTGCTTTGAAGTGTGTTATGCTACTCCCCAGGTATGTTTTTAAGGTAGAAATTCTGATTTTGTGTCAAAATAAGTTAAGTGTCCTAATAAGTTAAATTTGAATTGGGAGTACTGGGATTTAAGGGTAGTGTTGTTGTGTAATTTGTAAGCTGTAAAATTATTATAATATATTTTTTTCTTTTTGGAAGAAAATTAAGTTGTACTGAAACTTGTTATCTTTCATATGTAGTTTGAAGTTTTGGAGAACATGAATGTTGTTTTGGTAAAGACTTTGAAGTTGATTTTGGAGATAAATGCCTGTGAATTTGTTTTGGTGAATGTCAGTTCCAGTGCCATCATTTACTTGTTGAGCTAATGGCTATTTCAGTTGGCTATTTTACTTACTTATCATGTCCTGATTTAGTTAAAAATAAGTTGCTGATAAAAATAAAAAAAAGTCAAAAAAAAAAATTGATGTTATTAGATTGGGTAGTTAAAATTAAGTTGAGGAGAAAGGGAAAACAAAAAACCACAGCTACTAGGGAACACAACTAATTCTCATTTTTAGTAGATCATTCATGTAAAAAACTATATTAATCTGATATCAGTAGTTGGGTGGACTGCAATTCTAGTGAGATGGGTCCACTGTTCTGACTTGATTGGAAGCTGAGGACGGGGTAATCTTTCAGCAGACCTACGGTGATCTTGAATCACATTCTTTCTTGAAAAAATTGACAATAGTTTATTCTTAAATTTACATTTGTTCTTTAGTTTTTAAAAGACAAATATGATCCGATCATATATGGCTATGGATGCCTAATCAACCTAATGTTGGGGGCAGTCTATATTTCAAATGAGAGAAACTATTCAATGTTTTGTAATGAATCTCAACTGACAATTTGTTCATGTCTTTGAGGATTGAATAATTTTGGTTCAAATAGTAATAATTTCTAAGAAAGAAAAAAGTGGACTATTATCCTACTCCCTAGGTATTTTGTTAGGGTAAAAATTCTGACTAAGAAGCACAGACACTTCTAAAAAGGTAACTAAAAAGGTAACGTATCTATGTCGTGTTCGTGTCGGACACCGATACTCTTTGGACACTTACCCGACACGTGTCCGACACTCTTTAAAACATATCATATTTTTTAAAAATCCGGGCACTTTTTAGACACTTAGAGGACATACATGTATATCACTTAAACACACGTATCTATCGATTAGACAGATGTGAAACTAATTATAAGTATGAACAAAATGACTTAAGATACAATAATAAAACAAAAATCATATAAATTTATAGAGAGTAGTGTTCTATTGTATTTTTTTATTATCTCTGAATGATATATTCATATATATAACATATAATAAATATATAACATTATATATTGTATGCGTGTCCCCTATGTGTCGTGTCTTGTATTTTTTTAAAATTAGCGTTCGTGTCAGCATGTCCATGTTGTGTCACATGTGCACGTCCATGCTTCTCAGAATTCTAAGTTGTGTCATAATAAGTTGAGTTGAATTGGGAGTGCTGGGATCTAAGGGTAGGGTTCTTGTTGGGGACTTTGTAACTTGTTATAACACACACACACACACACACACACACTCTCTCTCTCTCTCTCTCTCTCTCTCTGAAATAAAATTAAGTTGACCTTGAACTTGTTATTTTGCAAGTATTGTTTTAAGTTTCGGAGAACACGCTTATGTTCTTTTGTTTGAAGTTTTGTGACCTTACTAGTCGTGTCAAAAACTTTTAAGTTGTTTTGGAGATAAATTCCTTTGATTTTGTTTTGGTGAATGTCTGTCCCTGTAAGCACCAATTTAATGATCATCATTGTATGAACTTATATATATGTATTTATGCGTATCTGTCCCCGGATTTAGTCAAATTGTATAGAGATAATAAACCAAATTGCTTTTCGTTCACAAGAAGATACAGAACAATGCCGCCATTGTCAACTCATTTTTAACATCGTTGCAGCCTTTTGTAGCGTCTATAATTCGAATAATTGAACCATTATTATTTGCAGCAGTCATTCTTTAGAGTTGTATTTTACCACACCTTGCATTGACTTATCGTCTCGTGTTTTCTCGGTTACATTGATATAGGAAAGTCATAATGTTATGTGCACATAAAAATCAGACTGGATAGTAAAGATAGATAAGAGAAGATTCAAATCTTGGACTCAATTTGATCTTCTCAGCCCTTTTACCACTTGGGATAAGGTTCTTATTATAAGTGTAACTTCAAATTATAGAATATGATATCTTGCTCACTAATTTTAATTGTTAGTTGTCTTTTTCAATTATTACTTGGGTAAGGTACTAGTTTACTTGTTGAGCAAATAGTTATTATTCCAGTTGGCTTGGGACTTTTAGGTTGTGTTTGGATTTTTGGATTGAGAATGGATTTGTAGAGAAAATAAAAAGAAAGAAAAAGTGAGTGAAATAGAAACTACTCTTTTGTGACTTTACTTGATATCTCTGCAAATTTTAGGTCCCAAATACAACCTTGTATTATTCAAATGATTCGAAAGAGAGAGGAACTATTTTACTTGTTTACCATTCCCACACACCCGGCTCGCTGGCAGGAAGGCTTCAGCTTATTGTCGCTGCTGCCTCCGGCAAAGTTGGATTTTGGCATCAAGTAACCAGTTGGGAGGACTTTGATGTTGTATTCTGATCTGCTCATTTGTTTTGTTTGGATGATGTTTTTGATCCTTTATTATTATTATTTTGTTCTCATTCGGGGTTTGTGCGGACAAACCAGTGAGGTTGTGAGACCTTGAAAAATGATTGAGGTTGAGACTGGAATCATAATCAAGACCAAAACAGGTTGATTCATGGAATACTAGAGAAAAATGGGGAAAATGGGTTTGAGGGGAGAGAAATGTAGTAGGGTTTAGAAGAAGATTGAAGAGAGAGTGAGAGAGAGGGGCCTCTGTTTCACTTTGGATTTTTGTTTGGACATATGAGAAGAGGTTATTTGATGATTTAGAGTATTGCTCCGCACCATTCATTGAGGGACACTTGTTCAATTGTCCCCTTAAAAGAGATAAAGCTAGTAACTTCTACTATTAACTTGTAAAACGGCTCGTTATTGAGTTTTCTGAGCTTATTTAATTACTCATTTTATAAAATTTATTAAGTAGATGACTTATATAATAAAATAAAAAATTGAAAGCGATCGATATAGTGACAATACATTCTTGTACTCGATTTTCAGAAGAACCTTGTGGTTTTACCTTTGGAATATTGTTACTCATGTTTTGACCCCTATTTGGAACTTCTTCCTTAGCCGTTCTCCTTGGGCGAATGTCTCAACAACACATCCTTGGCCTTTCTCCTTGGGCGAATGTCTCAACAACACAAAACGAGAAGGTTTTGCTTCTTATAGGACTTAATCAAACATCTCAAGACATGAGCTGATGACAGTTATGTGCATTTATAATTATATAATGAAATTATATTTGTCTTAAAAAAATAGATGATAAGTATGATTTTAAAAATAAATTATTTATTATTTTAAAGATGAATGTAATTTGATCCATCAATATATGATGATGTACTAAGTAGGAGACAAGATGGACTATTTGGATCATTGACTAAGTCTTAAATGGTTTAACTGAATCCAAAACCACCTTTCTAGCTAGATGCGCTACTGAAAATGAATCTATTTCACATGTTATATTTCAGATGAGAGAAATTATTCAATGTCTATGTTATAAATAACTTTTATTTACTTATTTATTTGTGTATTTAAATATTTAAAGTTATATTTGAATTATAAATTTAAATATAAAAAAAAAGGAAAAGTGAGAATAACGTGAATAAAATATAATATATATATATTTTTATTTTCCTTTCACTTTCGCTTTCTAAATTCTTAATAAAATCAATAATTCAAACGCAAATGTCGGTGACAAATCATGTATCAATTATTGGGCCCAAAAGAATATGTTAGTGCATGGACAACCTACTTTTGCACTAGCTGAATCAGATTATTATTATTATTATTATTGTCGTTATCATCATCATCATCATCTCTTTTTTTTTTTTTTCTTTTTTTTTTAAATTAAAATTTTAATTTGTCACTCTTTTCTTTTTCTTAACTAGCAGAAGTCAAACGGTTGGCCATGAGAATCAAAGTGGGCTACTAGTATGTTTTTTTGTTTTTTTGGAACAAGCTCACCTAAGTATACTTTAAGGGATTATGATATTCAGAGACTGTCATGCATTGGAGTTTGAAAAAATTGATATAAAACTCTTTTATTTGAGCCATTATTGTTTCATGTTGGATTCAATTTATATTTATCCATGAAAGAAAAAATATATAAATACTTTAGTTAAATTAATATATTCTAATGAATAATATTATATGCATCAATTAGTATATTAAGTACTGTACCAATTGATGATATAATATAATTTAAGGGATTTTTGATATTTGTAATTTACATAATGAGTGAGATCAATAATAATATTATAACTAATGTTAGTATACTAGTTAGTATATTATTAGTGCATGTAGCACCACCGAATTCTAATATATTAGGTAATTTGTTGTAATAATTTTGGACTTCAAATATGGGACTCACCAGTGAAGTTTCAATTTTCTCCCAAAGCAATATAATTTTTTACAATAATTACAAAATTTTTTTTTTTTAAGATTTGACCTTTATAATAAAATAAATTTTAAATTTTATCAATTTAAACTCTAATATTTTGATTTGTTTTTAATTTAAATCATTCACTTATTAGTAAAATCGACAAAAAAATAGATTATTTTTAGCCATTAAACTCAGTGTAAATATACATCAAAAATCTAAAATTTCATTTTTCATTAATTTTACTTAACGAAAATATACAAATAGTTTAAATTGAAAACAAATTAAAAGATTAAGATTTAAATTAATAAAATTAAAAAGTCAAAATTTATTTTGTTATAAGGGTCCAACATTGATTTTTTTTTTTTTTTTTTTTTTAAATTTTCTTGATAAAATCAGAAAAAGATTAGACAAATAGAATGGAAATGGTTAATTAATGAAAATAGTGGCTATTGTGAATAGATTAATGTTTAATTAACTAATAGTTCAATTACTTATCGTTATCGCACTAGGTGGTCAATGGTTTAACTTAGAATTTCTCTTTTGATATTGGTTTTGAACCAAAATAAATAATATTTTGAAATAAATAACGTTTTCTTTCCACAAGAGCCTTTGTTAATAGAGATGGCATTAGTGAAAGTATTTCCAAAAACTTTTATGAAAATTTACCTATAAATTCTATTTTGAGGAATTATAATCCATTTAGTCTCAAAGATTTTTTTTATAGGT